CAGCACATGCGCTCTTGCTTTTGCGCTCTTGCTCTTGCGCTCCAGCACCTGCTCCAACGCTCTTGCTCCTGCTCATGTTCCTATGCCTGCTCCTGCGCTCGTGCTACTCCTCCTGATCTTGCGCTCTTGCTCCTGCGTTCCTTCTCCTGCTCCCACGCTCTTGCTCCTACTCCTACGCTCACGCTCCTCCGCTCCAGCGCTCCTCCTCATGCTCCTACTCCTGCTCTTACTCCTATGCACCTACTCCTACTCCTACGCTCCTCATCTTGCTCATATGCTCCTACTCTTGCTCTTTTGCTCCTGCTCATGCACTCATCTCGTTCGTTCCTGCTCCTGCACTCCTACTCTTGTTCCTTCCCTCCTGCTCCTACGCTCCTGCTATTACTCCTACACTCCTCCTCCTGCGCTCCTGCTCCTCCTCATGCGCTCCTGATTCAGTGCTCCTGCTCCTACTCCAACTCCCGCTCCAATGCTCCTGCTCCTACTCCTACTCCTACGCTAACGCTCTTGCTCCTGCTCCTCCGCTCCAACGCTCCTCCTCCTGTGCACCTACTCCTGCTCCTGCGCTCCTGCTCTTGCTCTCCTGCTCCTGCGCTCCTCCTACGCTCTTGTTCCTGATCTTACGCTCCTACTAATGCGCTCCTACTAATGCGCTCCTGCTCATGCGCTCCTGCTCATGCGCTCCTGCTCATGCGCTCCTACTCCTACTACTGCACTCCTGCTCTTGCTCCTGGGCACCTACTCCTTCTCCTACGCTCCTGCTCATGTTCTCCTGCTCCTGCTCATGTGTTCCTGCTCCTGGTACTGATCCTGCTCCTACTCATGCGCTCCTGTTCCTGCTCCTGCTCCTGCTCCTATGTTCCTGCTCTTGTGCTCATGCTCCTGCACTCCAGCACATGCGTTTCTACTCTTGCGCTCCAGCACCTGCTCCAACGCACTTGCTCCTACTCATGTTCTTATGCCTGCTCCTACGCTCGTGCTACTCCTCCTGATCTTGCGCTCTTGCTCTTGCGTTTCTTCTCCTGCTCCCGCGCTCTTGCTCCTACGCTCACGCTCCTCCGCTCTAGCGCTCCTCCTCATGCTCCTACTCTTATGCACCTACTGCTGCTCCTACGCTCCCCCTCTTGCTCATATGCTCCTACTCTTATGCACCTACTGCTGCTCCTACGCTCCCCCTCTTGCTCATATGCTCCTACTCTTGCTCTCCTGCTCCTGCTTATGCACTCCATCTCCTTCGTTCCTGCTCTTGCGCTCCTACTCTTGTTCCTTCCCTCCTGCTCCTACGCTCCTACTATTACTCCTACGTTCCTCCTCCTGCGCTCCTGCTCCTCCTCCTGCGCTCATGATACAGTGCTTCTGCTCCTACTCCAACACCCACTCCAATGCTCTTGCTCCTGCTCCTACTCCTACGCTAACGCTCTTGCTCCTGCTCCTCTGCTCCAACGCTCCTCCTCCTGTTCCTGCACTCTTGCTCCTGCTCCTTCGCTCCTCCTACGCTCCTGCTAATGCGCTCCTGCTCATGCGCTCCTACTCCTACTACTGCACTCCTGCTCTTGCTCCTGGGAACCTACTCCTTTTCCTACGCTCCTGCTCATGTGCTCCTGCTCCTACTCATGCGTTCCTGCTCCTACGCTCCTGCTCCTACGCTCCGGATCCTATGCTCCTTATCCTGCGCTCCTGCTCCAGCTCCAGCTCCTACTCATGCGCTCCTGTTCCTGCTCCTGCTCCTATGTTCCTGCTCTTGTGCTCATGCTCCTGCGCTCCAGCACATGCGCTCCAGCACCTGCTCCAACGCTCTTGCTCCTACTCATGTTCCTATGCCTGCTCTTGCGCTCGTGCTACTCCTCCTGATCTTGCGCTCTTGCTCCTGCGTTCCTTCTCCTGCTCCCGCGCTCTTTCTCCTACTCCTACGCTCACGCTCCACCGCTCCAGCGCTCCTCCTCATGCTCCTACTCCTATGCACCTACTCCAGCTCCTACGCTCCTCCTCTTGCTCATATGCTCATACTCTTGCTCTCCTGCTCCTGCTCATGCACTCCATCTCCTTCGTTCCTGCTCCTACGCTCCTGCTATTACTCCTAGGCTCCTCCTCCTGCGCTCCTGATCCAGTGCTCTTGCTCCTACTCCTACTCTCGCTCCAATGCTCTTGCTCCTGCTCTTGCTCCTACTCCTACGCTAACGCTCTTGCTCCTACTCCTTCGCTCCAACGCTCCTCCTCCTGCTCCTGCTCCTGTGCACCTACTCCTGCTCCTGCGCTCCTACTCCTGCTCCTGCTCCTGCGCTCCTACTCCTGCTCCTGCTCCATCTCCTTCGTTCCTGCTCTTGCGCTCCTACTCTTGTTCCTTCCCTCCTGCTCCTACGCTCCTGCTATTACTCCTAGGCTCCTCCTCCTGCGCTCCTAATCCAGTGCTCCTGCTCCTACTCCTATTCTCGCTCCAATGCTCTTGCTCCTGCTCCTGCTCCTACTCCTACGCTAACGCTCTTGCTCCTACTCCTCCGCTCCAACGCTCCTCCTCCTGCTCCTGCACTCCTGCTCCTGCTCCTGCGCTCCATCTCCTTCGTTCCTGCTCCTGCTCCTCCTACGCTCATGCTTCTGATCTTACGCTCCTACTAATACGCTCCTGCTCATGCACTCCTGCACTCTTGCTCCTGGGCACCTACTCCTCCTCCTACGCTTCTGCTCCTGCTCCTGTGCTCCTGCTCCTGGTCCTGCTCCTACGCTCCTGCACTCCTTCTCCTACTCATGCGCTCCTGCTCCTACGCTCCTCCTCTTGCTCCTACGCTCCTGATCCTGCGCTCCTGCTCCAGCTCCTACTCATGCGCTCCTGCTCCTATGTTCCTGCTCTTGTGCTCCTGATCCTGCGCTCCTGCTCCAGCTCCTACTCATGCGCTCCTGCTCCTATGTTCCTGCTCTTGTGCTCATGCTCCTGCGCTCCAGCACCTGCTCCAACGCTCTTGCTCCTACTCATGTTCCTATGCCTGCTCCTGCGCTCGTGCTACTCCTCCTGATCTTGCGCTCTTGCTCCTGCGTTCCTTCTCCTGCTCCCGCGCTCTTGCTCCTACTCCTACTCCTACTCCTACGCTCACGCTCCTCCGCTCCAGCGCTCCTGCTCCTACTCCTACTCCTACTCCTACGCTCACGCTCCTCCGCTCCAGCGCTCCTCCTCATGCTCCTACTCCTGCTCCTGCTCCTATGCACATACTCCTGCTCCTACGCTCCTCCTCTTGCTCATATGCTCCTACTCTTGCTTTCTTGCTCCTGCTCATGCGCTCCATCTCCTTCGTTCCTGCTCATGCGCTCCTGCTCCTGCTCATGCGCTCCTACTCCTGGTCTAGATCCTGCTCCTTCTCATGTGCATGCACCTGCGCTCCTACTCCTACTCCTGCTCCTGCTCCTGCTCCTGCTCCTACTCCTGCTCCTGCTCTTGCCCTCCTGCTTCGGCGCTCCTGCTCCAACTCCTACTCTTGCTCCTGCTTCCTGCTTCCTGCGCTCCTGCTCCAACTCCTGCTTCCTGCTACGCTTCTCCTGCTCCCGTGCTCCAACTCCTACACTCTTGCACCTGCGATCCTTCTCTTGCGCTCCTGCTCCGGCTCCCTGCGCTCCTACTCCTACTACTGCTTCTGCTCCTGCTCTTGCTCATGCTCCTGTTTCATGTGCTCTTGCTCTTGCTCATGCTTCTTGCGCTCTTACTCCTGCTCTGGTTCATGTGCCTGCGGCTGTATTCTTGCTCCTGCTCCTGCTCATGCACTCTTGATCATACGCTGTTGATCCTACGCACATGCTTCTGTTCTCCTGCTCCTACTCTTGCGCTCTTGCTCCTGCACCTACACACATGGTCCTCCTATAGCGCTCCTTATCTTGCGCTCCTGCTCCTGCTACAACGCTCCTTATCTTGCGCTCCTGCACCTCATGCGCTCTTGCTCTTGCTCATGGGCTCAAGCTCCTACTCCTGCTCCTCCTCAAGCTCCTGCTCTTGCGCTCCTGTTGCTGCTACTACGCTCCTACTCCTGCTCATGTGTTCCTGTTCCTACTCCTACGCTCCTCCTCATCTCCTGCGCTCCTACTCATGCGCTCATGCACTTGCTCATACTCCTACTTCTTACGCTCCTACTTCTACTTCGTGTGCTCCTATTCATGTGCTCCTGCTCCTACTCATGCGCTCTTACTCTTGCTTTTGCGCTCCTTCTCTTGGTCCTGCTCTTGCTCCTTCTCATGCGCCTGCTCCTACGCTCCTACTCCTGCTCTTGAGCTCCAACTCATGCTTTTGCGCTCATGGCCAACTCCTTATGGCCTCCGCGCTATGGCCTCCGCCCTATGGCCTCCGCCCTATGGCCTACGCCCTATGGAATAGCCATATGGCCTACGCGCCCTACGCCTACGCCAACGCCCTATGGCCTGCGCCCTAAGGCCTATAGCCTGCGCCCTATGGCATGCGCCCTATGGCATGCGCCCTATGCCCTACGCCCTACGCCTACGCCCTACGCCTACGCCAACGCCTATGCGCCCTACGCCTACGCTTGTGCCCTACAACATGCGCCCTATGCCATATCCCATATGCCCTATGCCATTTGCCCTATGCCATGTGCCCTATGCCTTATGCCTAAGCCCTATGCCCTATGACCTATGACCTATGCCTATGCCCTATGCCTATGCCTATGCCCTATGTCTATGCCTATGCCTATGCCTATGCCTATGCCTATGTTTATGCCTATGTTTATGCCTATGCCAATGCCTATGCTTACGCATATGTCTATGTCTATGCATATGCCTATGCGCCCTACCCCATATGCATATGCTTATTCGCCCTATGCATATGCATATGCCTATGCGCCGTACGACATAGGCTATTCGCCCTACGCCTATGCCTATGCGCCCTACGCCTATGCTTATGCGCCCTACGCCTATGCGCTTATGCATATGGCCTACACCCTATGTGCCATACGCCTATGCCTATGCGCCTACGCCTATGCCTATGCCTATGCGCCTACGCCTATGCCTATGACTATGTGCCCTACGCCTACAACTACGCCTATGACCACGCCCTCTGGCCTACGCCTTATTGCCTACGCCCTATGGCCTACACCCTATAGTATCCTATCATATCTTATCCTACTCCTACTCTTATCCTATCCTACCTCTATCATATTGTATCCTATCATATCCTATCGTATCCTATTGTATCCTATCCTACTCCTACTCCCACTCCCACTCCCACTCCCACTACCACTCCCACTCCTATCCTACCCCTACTTATATCTTACTCCTATCCTATTTTATTCTACTCTTATCCTATTCTATCTTATTTTATCCTACTCTTATCCTATCATATCCTACTCTTACTCCTACTCCTACTCCTATCCCATTCTATCCTACTCCTACTCCTACTCCTACTCCTACTCCTACTCCTACTCCTACTCCTACTCCTACTCCTACTCCTACTCCTCCTCCTCCACCCGCTCCCGCTCCTGCTCCTCCTCCTGCTCCCGCTCCTGCTCTTTCTCCCGCTCCTACTCCTCCTCCTTCCAGCTCTTCCTCCTCCTGCTCCTCCTTCTGCTCCTGCTTCTCCTCCTGTTCCTGCTCCTCATCCTGCTCCTCCTCCTCATCCTGCTCCTGCTCTAGCTCCTCCTCCTCCTCCTCCCGCTCTTGCTCCTCCTCTTCCTCCTGCTCCTGCTCCTCCTCATCTTGCTCCTGCTCCTCCTGCTCCTGCTCCTCCTCCTCCTACTCATGCTCATGCTCCTGCTCCTATCCTACTCCTATCATATCCGACTCATATCCTACTCCTATCGTATTCTACTCATATCCTATCCTACTACTATCCTACTCCTATCATATCATACTCCTACTGCTACTCCTATCTTACTCCTACTCTTATCATATCATATCCTACTCTTATTCCTACTCCTACTCCTACTCCTACTCCTCCTCCTGCTCCTCCTCCTGCTCCTGCTCCTCCTCCTACTCCTCCTCCTCCTCCTCCTCCTCCCGCTCCTCCTCCTCTTCATGCTCCTCCTCCTCCCGCTCCTCCTCCTCTTCATGCTCCTCCTCCTGCTCCTGCTCTTTCTCCCGCTCCTACTCCTCCTCCTTCCATCTCTTCCTCCTCCTGCTCCTCCTCCTCTTGCTCCTCCTCCTGCTGCTCCTGTTGCTCCTGCTGCTCCTGCTGCTCATCTTGCTCCTGCTCCTCATCCTGCTCCTGCTTCAGCTCCTGCTCCTCCTCCTCCTCCTCCTCCTCCTACTCCTGCTCATCCTCCTCCTCCCGCTCCCGCTCCTCCTCCTCCTCCTGCTACTGCTCCTGCTCCCGCTCCTCCTCCTCCTCCTCCTGCTCGTGCTCCTATCCTACTCATATCCTACTCCTATCGTATTCTACTCATATCTTATCCTACTCCTATCCTATCATACTCTTACTGCTACTCATATCATACTCCTACTCTTATCCTACTCCTATCCTACCATATCCTACTCTTACTCCTATCATATCCTATATTATCCCATCTTATCCCACCCCACCCCCACCCTCACCCTCACCCTCACCCTCACCCATACCCCACCCCTACCCCTACTCCTATCCTACTCCTACTCCTACTCCTACTCCTATCCTACTCCTACTTCTACTCCTACTCCCACTCCTATCCTACTACTATCCTACTCTTACTCCTACTCCTATCCTATCATATCTTATCATATCCTATCCTACTCCTACTCCTACTCCTACTCCCACTCTTATCCTACTACTATCCTACTCTTACTCCTACTCATATCTTATTCTATCATATCTGATCTTATCATATCCTATCTTATCATATCATATCATATCCTATCTTATCATATCATATCATATCCTATCCTATCATATCATATCCTATCATATCATATCTTATTTTATCCTATCATATCTTATCCTATTCTATCCTATCATTTGTCAACATGATGACTTTATCAGTGCCTGCAACAAAATTAGATATCTTTCTTAACTTAAAAGTATGCCAGTCACTATGTCAATGTTGACCCTTTACATAAAACTCCATGTTAATAATTAAAATTAAACACAGGAGACTTCATTGCACAAGCTGTAATATTTACTTCACTATACCATATAAAGATTGAGCATAAGAAAATTAAAACCAAACACAACATTCAAACTACAAAAGTAAATGCATTCTTACTACTTACTTCTAAGCAAAACAATGAAAAGAGATGGTTCAAAAAATAGAAGTATTCACTTGTACTTGTCTGCTTATATAAGGAAGTTCATTTCCAAGCTCAATCAACAAGACAACAAATCAAACAGTGCTCATTCCACAAATGTCCCACTTAATGTTCCAAACCAAATGCAATTTGAGTGTTCTTAATCAGGCCAATTAGTTCAAACCAAAACAGCTGAGCGAGTGCAACTTAAAACATAGAATTGCCACACCTAACAAAACTATCTCCAGTTTCATCATTCAACAACTTCTTGCATTCAAAAAGCTTATGAGAAGTACTTAATATACCTTATTATTTCGAGTTACTCCAAAAGAAGTTGCTTGATATCTGAGAGTTTCACTCCCTGCCATAGCGTCCAGTTGTTCCTCAATTAAATTCTCAGTGTACTGGAAATTTGCCATTTGTTGAATGAGCTCCTGAAAAACCAGTAAAAAGATTTATCATTGATAAAGAAATAACAAAGAAGAAAAACCTGCAGCAGAACAAGCTCAATTCCTTGCCCCTTTTCCAACTGGTTCAAAAGATACTGGAAAAGGCCCCTTAATTCCATTGATGGGTACTTCTTACACCTATATCAAACAAATGATTTGAGTTCAAGAAAACATTAAAGAAACATCCGTTATTATATATTCAACCTAGAAGCCTCAAAGGAGATCAATGGGAAGAAATAGAAAGGAGTGTGGCAGCAACGCCTAGAAGTCATAAAAAAAGTATGCAAGTTTTTCAATATCTCTATTTCTTTAATACCAAAGAAATAGAGAAGGAGTTAGGTTTCTTCTTGAATATATTCACACAAGCAGAAAAACAAGCCTTGACAAAGAAAACTAAACTTTTTTCACAAAGAAAGAATGATGAATGATGAAATGCATAGTTCAAATCTTGAAGAGAAAAAGAAGCCAAATCTAGAAGAGAAAAAGAGAGTCAAAATCATAAAAGAAAAAATCAAAGAAAACAAAAATGGATAAAAAGAACATAACAGAGAAGGAGTTAGGTTTCTTCTTGAAGGAGAAAAGAAGAGTTAGGCTTCTTCTTGAAGGAGAAAGAACAGCCTAGTGTGGTAAGCTTCTTCTTGAAGGCTGCAAAAAAGAAAGAAAGAATCCATTCATTGAGGCAAGAACGACCAAAAACAGAAAAGGGATTAAAGAAGAAATAAGATTAGATAATAAGGAATAAATAAGGAATAAATAAGGAATAGAGAAGGGATCAAACAGAAAAGGCGATTAACACCTTTACCGGCGTTGACGCCACCGCTTCCTCCTCCGTCGAGGAGAGTAAATGAGAGTAGGGATTTCCCCGTTCCCTTTTCTTTTCTCTCTGTTCACTGTTCAGGGTAAGTAACGTCTCTTTACTTTAACCCTTTCTTTCCTTTTTAATAATAATAATAATAATGCATTATTCTCTCTTTTTAACCTTTCTTTTCTTTTCTTTTTTTTTGTGAGTTTGCACTTTCATTCTTATTAAAAAAACTATTGAATTGTGAGCCACTCTCAAATATTGTAACAATAAATAACATTTTTATGGATTGAGAGCTTGTAAGAGTTTTCCATTCCCATCATAAAAACATAAATATTAAACATAATGAATTTTATATCAAAAATATATATTTAATGTATGGAGAAATAATTTTATAATTCTTATGATTCTTATTATTTTATTAATACAACTCACTAATTATCCAAAAAAATTATAATTTATGAAATGGATTCCCTAAAAAAAATTCATTAATGGCCCACATGAAGTGAAGGAAGGAAATATATTTAGATAAAATTTAATTTTGAACTATATTTTGGATGTTTATTATTAACTTTATCAATTCCAAATTAATTAATTTAAGATTTAATTTCAAACTATGTTTATAATCATATATTATAATCAAAATCTGATTAGTATTTGTAAAACTTATTCAAAAAATTTAAACCATTATATCAATGAATTTTAATGTAATTTTCATAATAAGATAATGATTCGAGTTGTCTCTAACTTCTCTGGAAATAGGAACGAATGTCTACGACCGAAGAAGGTTTATGACCCATAGTTATTAAAACTGTTTCGTACTGGCCGATTGAACCAGTAAACCGACGAACCAGACCCAATGCTGGTATGATACAATAATTATAACGGTTATAAAATTATACCGGTAAAAACCGACCAAAATCGGTAAAAACCGGTCATACCGGCCGGTTTTCAATTGAACTGTACCGACCATACCAGTCAATTTTTATTTAAAATTCATTTTTTAATGAAAATAAAAATAATAATTGTTTTTATTGATTTTTAAACATTAATGTTAATATATTATATATGTATATCTAACTTTACCGGTATGCGGTTCAATTAATGAACAACCGGTTAAACCACTATACCAGTATACCAGTACCCATACCGGTTTGATGACCGGTACGGTATTGAGAAACATTGTCTCCAAACTATTTATAGAAACTATTATCAATAATTAATAGTTTGATATAATCACCCCAACATAAAATTAATATATTGACAATATAGAAATTATATATTTAAGAAACTTTTGTATAAAATAATGGAAAATAAGAAATTCCACTATTTTATAAACTTTGATATAATAAGTAATATATCAAAGTTTCTACAAAAATAAACTCTGATAAAAAGGATAAACAAATAATATAAAAAGAACCACATAAGGGAGACTCAATAATTCCCAAATTTTGTGGCGGGCAGCTGGATCGGCAGGAATCATCTATTATACTATAAGAAAAAAGGTTCTCTATTATTAGTCTTGGACACATGTCATCTTCTCATGCAAAGTTTTCTCACCCAAACACTTCCACCAACTATCATGCAAAGTCTCACATTGTATCATTACCATATACATTCATATCATACATCAAACCATCAACTACCATGCATAGTCTCACATTGTATCATTACAATCTACATTCATATCATACATCAAAATGACACATGCATGTCACTTCTCATATCATACACCAAAATGACACATGCATGTCACATTTATTAATCCTTCATTTTTTCTACCAAACACATAATCATATTCACATATTCTCATATTCATTTTCCATCCAAAAATATTTCTTCATTTTCACTAAATCAATTCTTATATTTCTTCATTTTCCCTAAAATCATATTCTGATTAGCAATTCTATTATATTATTATGCACATTCATTATAATATTCTCATATTAATTTATATTAAAGATATATGAGTTTAGGGAAACAAAAATAATTCTTATCATATTATGCTGTTTGATTATATAAAAACAAAAATAATTGTTTAAATTTTCATCCACATTATCCTGAAAATGATGAACTCTCTGTAACAAAAATCACAAAGTCATAATAATGAAAAGCTTTGAATGAGAAATGAAGAAAATTAAAGTATGATGTAATACAATGTTACATAAGAAGGAGAAAAAAATCACGAGATTGTAAGATTATCTTATTACGCACATATGCAATTAGCATTACCTACAGGAAATTGCGGTTTGATTATGTAAAAACAAAAATAATTCTTTAAATTATCATCAATATTATCCCGAAAATGATGAAATCTCTAACAAAAATCACAAAGTCAGAATATTAAAAAACTTAGAATGAGAAATGAAGAAAATTAAAGTACGATGTAATGTTAGCTAAGAAGAAGAAGAATCATGAGATTGTAAGCAAAAAATGTTGGTAATAATTGTAAAATATCGGTGTTATGATGTGGTGTGAAAACAATTCTATAAATATCTCATACCCTGATTAGCAATTCTATTATCTTATCATTATGCACATTTCTTATATATTAATTTCTATTAATCACCATGTACATATACTTAAAATCAACATTCATCACCATTACCATTATGAAACATTCATGAATAATTCAATTAGAATGAATATAGTTATTATACTTAATGATCTTTCATGATTTCATAAAAAATCATTATACACATTTATTCTTATATTCTTTTTTCCACCAAAAATCTTTATTTATTCCCCTAAATCAATTCTTATATTTCTCCATTCTTATAATATTGTGCACATTCTATTGATATATCATAACCTCATTAGCAATTCTATTATCCTATTATGCACATTCATTATATATTTCTCCTAAATCAATTCTTAATGATCTTTCATGATTTCATAAAAAAATCATTATACACATTTATTCTTATATTCTTTTTCCCACCAAAAATCTTTATTTATCCCCCTAAATCAATTCTTATATTTCTCCATTCTTATAATATTGTACACATTCTATTGATATATCATAATCTCATTAGCAATTTTATTATCCT